CCATGTTACCTTGCAGGTGGATCGGCAGGCCGAGCGTGTCGCGTCCACGCATTGAGCCTTCGGCAACGGGTCCACTGATACCATATTGGCCATAGTCCACGCTGCAAGCATTCCTTGGTAAATGAGCATCATCATGTCTGGGCACATTCTCATTTAAGCTAGATTTGCGTCCGAAGGTCATAACACCGAATGCCACAGCGCCAGTTGGTTTTCCTCCCTGTGCTGGGTTGGCTTCGGAGCCAACGCATCGACACATCTCGCTGCCTCTACTGGATCCCGGTTGATACTGGTCATAGCCCATATCCATACCCGGCCCGGCCCCATACCCATAATCCTGTGCACCTTCTGGTCCCACCATTCCTTGCCAATTTGGTTGACTCATTCCTGATCCCCTGCCAGAACCTATTCCTAATCCCCTGCCAGACCCCACTCCTGATCCCCTGCCAGATCCAATTCCTGGCCCCATTCCTGGATCCATTCCTTGCCAATAGTCTGTTTCCATTCCTGGCTCCATTCCCTGCCAATTTTCTGGACCTATTCCTGGATCTGTTTCTGGCCAATTGTCTGGACCCATTTCTGGCTCATTTCCTTGCCAATAGTCTGTTTCCATTCCTGGCTCCATCCCTTGCCAATTTTCGGTGCCCATTCCTGGATCCATTCCTTGCCCATATTCTGGACCCATTTCTCCATCCATTCCTTGCCAATTGTCAGGGCCCATACCTGGATCCATTCCTTGCCAATTATCTGAGCCCATTCTTGGGTCCATTCCTGGATCCATTCCTTGCCAATTTTCTGCACCCATTCCTGGATCCATTCCTTGCCAATCATCTGAACCCATTCCTGGATCCATTCCTTGCCAATTATCCGGACCCATTTCTCCATCCATTCCTTGGAAATTTTCTGCACCCATTCCTGGATCCATTCCTTGCCAGTTATCTGCACCCGTTCCTGGATCCATTCCTTGCCAATTATCTGCACCCATTCCTGGTTCCATTCCTTGCCAATTTTCTGGACTCATTCCTTGTCCCATTCCTGAGCCTCTCCCTGAGCCTATCCCTGAGCCTCTTCGCGGATCCATTCCTTGCCAATTTTCTGGACCCATTCCTTGTCCCATTCCTGAGCCTCTCCCTGAGCCTATCCCTGAGCCTCTTCGCGAATCCATTCGTGGTCCCATTCCTGGGCCTCGCATTGAGCCCCTTCCTGGCTGCATTCCTGGTCCCATCCTTGGACCCATGCCTTGCCCCATTCCCGGACCCATTCCAATACCACACAGACATTGAGGACCCATTCTCTGTCCTGGTCTCGGACTCGATCCTTGGTAAGGGCCGCCTTGAGTTGAATATGGCATCGGCCTAGCGCTCATGCCCGATGGTCGACCATTTTGCATTCCGGGCGCTTGATTCTGGGCGTGCTGTGCTCGAGCCTGCTCCTTGCACTTCGTGCATGGGCAGGGAGGCTCTGTAGGCGGCCGTGACGCCGGGCCCGGTGGTCCAGACATTGCGCTACGCTTGCCGGGATTTCACACGTGAATAATTTTTACAAAATTTTGACTATAGACTAGCACTGACAGATTTTGGATAGAAACTGAAGTCAGGGGCCATCAAATCCGACTGACATACCCACTTAGATGGGGCAAAAATTCTCATGAATTCTCTGAATTTCTAAAAATTATCAACCTAAAATAATTCCAATCTTTTATGAGTATAATTGGAGGAATGCTGGGTATATAAGAAAATTCCAGAATATATATTCTATCCACTAAACATAAATCAATACATAAAAATCGTAAGAAGGTAATGTTTCCTGTGTCTTAGGTTTTTAGTTACGAAGTGATCCATTTCGAAATCGAATTTTTATCGACTTAAGGAAGGTTCTTCGCATCCTGAAAAAAACTGATAATTTTCTTAAGCTTCGATTTGTTTGGCTTTAATAATATACGGCGATATCTGAATGTTAATTATTACAAATGGGTTGTAAATCGATTTTTATCGATTTTGTGGCCGTTATCAGCAACATACAAACTTCATAATTATCTCAAAATTCGAAATCTCAAGTTTTAATAATATGTCTAATCTGTATCATGTCTGAGTTGGAAATCGATATTTATCGATTTTTGTCGTTTATTGGCTTATCGATAGCTCAATAAATCTCTACAATCTTTCAAACGACTTTTAACAAAATATGTTTTAAGCATTTTCTGAATTTCTTTCCTTTATACTATCCAAGTTCAAAAAGTTCATATCGTAGTTATATATAAAAATGGTTATATATACGTTGTGTAACTATCTAAAAAATTTCGAAAGAATAATATAAGAAAATATCTCAACTTATAGTATAATGATGCAAAGGGGTTGTTGTTCTCTATGATGTCAGGCATGGTAATGGGAATTGACAAACTCCTTAGTTATTGAATTTACACTTTATTTCTTATGTTTTCGTGTTTTTTTCAGAGTCCGATGAGGAGCACGAGTTTGTAAGGAACACCACCTGGTACATAATGCCAGTGCTCAATCCGGATGGGTACGTGTATAGTCATGATTACGATCGCTTCTGGAAGAAGTCACGTTCCCAGCATGTGGCTAAGCAACCAGCTGGACTGCTCGATTCGGCGATGACGTGGCTACAGCAGAAGCGTCATGGCGATAAGATCTGTTATGGGGTGGATTTGGACCGCAACTGGCTGTATCAGTGGGGCAAGCGGGGTAGCTCCAAGGCGCCATGCAATGAATTTTATGCCGGTCCGTCGCCCTTTTCTGAGCCTGAAACAAAAGCTGTGTCCGACTTTCTGATGGACTATCGCACCCAGATCAAGGTGCGTGGGTGTGCAGCCAAATCCGAATCGCTTAATCTGACGCTTATCCAATTTTGTGCATTGCTTTTGCAGCTGTATATATCACTGCAGGCCTATGGACAGGTGTTGTCGTATCCGGTGAAGGCCAATTCCACCTTCAATTCGGAGCGCATGGATGACTTTCTGGACGTGGCCATGGTGGGCACCGATGTGCTGCGCAAAAAGAGCAGCAAGGCGCGCTACAAGGTTGACTCGGCCAATGATTTGATTGAGCAGCGTTCGGGTATGTAGTCAGAGATGCACTCAAAGTTTGATCTCAATGCTACTCATGCCCATTGTCCTTCCGTAGGCTGTTCTGATGCCTTTGCCGCCTATGAGATTGGCATACCGTTCAGCTTTACGTTCCAGCTGGCGGATAACGGTGTACATGGCTATCTGTTGCCCAGCGGCGCCATTGAGACAACAGCGCGGGACGCCTTTGAGATAGTAAGCGGCATGCTGGACTACATCTGAGCCAGTTGGTAGAAGGCAGGACGTGGGAATGCAAGTGCACAGCAAAACTCAAATGTTAGTTCCTTTTTTTTTTTCATCAGCGATCAGGTTCGCACTTCTGCTCTTACAATTAAGGACGAAACCAACGCTATATAACTCAATACGATACATTTAATACTTGGTAGTAATTTTTTTTTTCTTTTTTTTTTTATATAAATATTTTTGGATATTTTTAGTCTTAATATTTATAAACAAACTTAGTGCATATAACTTATTTTATCATTAACGTAAACAATAAAAAAAAAAAGTTGATATTTATCTAACTTAAATGCCGCTTTTAATTATTTCAACACTTAAATTTTAATTGCGTGAATAACATTAGAGTGAATTATATATTGCCTCTACAAATATATACTTATATATAATTATCATCCAACGGTTTGCTCTAATCTTGATATATTAGGTAAAGATCCTTTATCAGGGAGAAACTTGGAACACTTCAAAGGCAGGAACTGGGGCCATTATTTAACAATTAAACATTATTTAATTATATATAAAGGCACTATTTACACCTATATACATAATCTCTCAATGCAGGCCCTGGGAGAGGCGTATGCGTTCCGAGAGAGCGGAAAAATTCGTGTATAGCTCATTGCCGCTAAAGTAAAGTCCGATGAGCAGCTTGAATTGCGCCGGTGTCAATGGATATGTTTCGGTGGGCATGATAACGATGGCGTCTACAGCGTTTCGATTGTGCTTCTGTTTGGACACATGCACCATTTCCAGGTAATTGCAAAAGGCAGCGGCACACTTGGCTACGTGACGTACCAGTGTCTTCCTGGAGCACTGCTGTAGCACTGGGCGGCCAATTAGTTCGGCGACAATCGAATGCATATCGAATATAATGAGATCAGGACGCGGTTGGCAATCGTATAGCTCGATAATGCGGCGCGGTGCGCTTTCAATGTCCTTGAGTGCAATGCTCATCCAGCGTTCCATATGAACTAGCGATCGCGGCTTTTTCAATGTGCCGGGCAAACTCATTTGGTTTTGGGTCATCAGAAGCACCTTCTTTTCATGCTCCACGCATAGCTCGCACAGCTAAAAGCAAAAATGATTGATAAGTTGGGAAGCGGAGTGTCCAACGGGACTTACCTTAACCAAATGCCGCCTGTATTCGCCGTTAGGCGCTAGGAAAATGTGATTTCTTATAAGCTGCAAGCATTAATATTTATAAATGTTCAAGAATACCCACTGATATGTTTTTAAAAATATTCCACTAGGCTGTGTACTCACATCGTTCTCTGAAATGTGGGGCATATCTGCCGGCATTTAATTGGGCGCTTTAATATCTGACTTTAGCCCAATTCTACACACCAGAGATGCTGATAGTGAATCGATACGCGATAGACCCAAACTCGATACTTATCGATACTTTGGTGAAATATATTAATTCAGTCTCGATGCTTTAAGCGGTACTTTAAAATGGGCAATATTTTTATTGGCTCGTACATCCGGGAAAATAAATAGAATGAAAAAATTGAGCCTCTCTTTGCTGCCGTTCTAATTAAAATTCCGAGCTGTGTAAGTACAATTTGATGTTTCTATCATTATTATATTTCAAAGGTTTTTGCTTACAAAGTTTACAGTGCGTTTACATAACAATGTTAGAGACTTTGCCTTAATGTAACATCCGAGCAAATTATTGAGTTAAAAGTTCAATTGAGTAATAACGTTGCCATTTCGAGTATAACAGAGTTGGACTTTCACCACACCGCAATATTAGTGCTGTAAACGGCCGGTAGTTGAGCATAGCCACTGGCAATTGGAGTGACTGAGATAAATATACAATAGACACAGAGCGAGATAAATATATGGACTAACGCTGTAAACTCAACACAGCCGTGCCGTGCCGACGAACGAAAGAGCGCACAAAGCGTAATGTGGAAGAATTGAAAAAATCATCAAGTATAGAGGCCAAAAGCAAACGCAGCAGTTGGGCGAATTTTAATATTTTTGATTAATAATTCAAAGTATCGCATGCTAGCTGCATTAACAAGAAAGTGAATGCACGCGGCAAATATATTGCGGTAAGATAAACAGCCAAACTGAACAGCAAATAGCCAAAAAATTCAAAGAAGCGACGACGACCAACCAACCAACACTAACATACATACATACTCCGACATACACGCACGCACACACACAGACACTCTCCAGTGAAAAAGTGCAAGCCGCGAGCGCTTTTGAAGGCGTGAAACGCAGATCAGCTTCCAAGAAACGTAATCAAGCGCAGAGTGGGCATGAAAATTTGATTGGGAATCTTGCTATGGCCAGATGCTGATGTTTGCAAACACATTTCCGTGTTTTTAGGAAGGCAACATCGAACGGCAAACGGCACTTGCCGACGACTGCTGCGACCGCGATAGAGCCCATATTCAGACACACACACGCGCACTCACACAACACACATATAGACAAGCACGCCCGCAAATACAGTGAAACACGCAACAGCAGCGCCACAACACACACACACACATCTACACACCCGCGCCATCCGCCGTGTGGAGCAGGAGCCACAGGAACGGAAGAAGTGAGGCATATACAGGGAAAAAGGCCCGGCGGCCAGGCAACGTAGCGCTGCCGCCATTATCTTGAAGATAGCAAAAGGGAACAGCGCGGGTCCACAAGTTGATGCCACTGCCGACTCCTGACATCGTTGCTGTCGTCGTCGTCGTCGTCGTCGGCCAGGAGCCCCGAACTGAATAGAAACATCAACAACAACAATAACAAGAGAAGCGTATTGGCGAAAACTTTGCATTGATGGTAATGCATGCTAGAAAACCGCAGCGTATGAACGATGGGTAAATTACAATTTCCATTAACATTTCGCTCAATATCTAACTTAGCATGTAAATATATAAACGAGTAGTTGCTTACACCGTAGTTAAATGAAATCTATATGCAATATCTACGTAGAAAAACCCTAAAGACTTAAACGCCAACTTTTGTTTACATATACATATATGTACGCACGTTCCGTGCTGCTGCTTGCTGCACAGACACACACTCACACACACAAGCACACGCATACTATACCCCACACATTTGCATGTATGTCCCCGCCCCGCAAATCGTGATAGTGAACAGGCGCTAATAAAAACACGCGTATGTATGCATGTGTATCTGTATGCATTAAACATATGTGATTTGACCATCTGATTTAGTGAAAGAAAAACATTAATGTTTGTTGCATATTGTCATCTTGTAATATTTAGATTGCTAGTTTTTGTTCCATTGCGTTGCTCTCGTTTAGCGTGCTTTGGCTCATTCTCCAAACGTTCGTTTGTTCGTTCGCTGTGTCTTTCGTGTGCCGTCTACGTCAAGTTATTCACCACACCTTATTGGCCTCTCGCTCGCACGTTCTCAATTGCTCAGCTGTATGGCGCTCTCTCTGTCATCTCTGTCATTTACCGCTTGCATTTCGGCACTACAAAAAGAAAAACGGTCCAGCCTCGATTCTATTTGATTGGAGGCGAGACCCGTAAAGGACCTGAACTCTTCTGCATTAGAATTCATTTGACGTCTTTTTGTTGTTGTTGTTGTTGTTTTTTTTTTTTTTTTTTTTAATTTTGTATACATATATACATATATACTTATATGTTAAAATTCTCGCACTGCATGTGTTGTTAACCTCTGGGCTAAGAAACCGACTAACCAATCAGTAGCCTTTCAACGGAAAATCAAGTCATACCACACAATATTGAGATATTTATTTTGTTTTTGTTTGTGGGTAAATATTTGAAAAATATATCACTTGGATTAGCAAAAAGCGGCACACACGCAATATTTGTGAATTTCTCCATTTCTATTAGAGCCATAACAACTGAAAAATGGATATGAATGATGGTTGGAATGATTCTGAGTCCGAGGCGGATTCGGGCCGCGGCTCCAATTGGAGCGAAACCCTAAGCGAGCCGAGTAACGATGTCGCCCAGCAGCCTGGTCCAGCTGTTGACGAGAATATTCCACAACAGTTGGCGCTTCTGTGCAATAATAGGATCTATGATCTGGTGCCCGAGGGCGATTATGATAATATCGGGGATGAGCTGGAAAAGTGCACACTTACGATTGATCTGGCCGATGAAGTTGCCCAATTGAATCCAGCACTCGCCTTACGGAACCCAGAGCCCATCATAATGGATGACAACGATTCTTCGTCACAGGGGGGGAATATTGAACCACCTGGTTCCATTCGAATGGTTAAGCCCTCATTTACGGTTGTTTATACGGTCTGCAAGTGTGTTTACGATAGCAACAATAAGTTGATATCCAGCAAAATAGCACACACCGAGGCATTTCCATGCTATGATCTATCCGAAGACGATGAACAGAATGCGGATGAGGACAATGGGGGGGTCGAATATATGTTTTCCGATGAAGTTTATGAAGAGAATAACAATAATATTGATAACGATGATGATGAGCAGCCGATACCATTTAAACGCATGAAACTTGAGCCCCATCCATAATATCATTTCCTAACTCTATATATAACCAATTGTTAACTGAGAAACAGACAAAACACAAACACGAAACACGAAAAAACAAACAAAACTACATTAACAACGAGACCAAATAAATATCTACTAGTTGATTTCATTACTTGTTGCTTTTCAGTTGCATGATTATTATTTATTTGTTGGCCATTTCTTTCATCATTCTGCATTTGTCATTTAAGTATATATATATATATATATATATGGTAGTCTAATTTTAATATGTACTAATAATACAGCAATAAGTAACTTGCACTAACTAAACGCCTTTGCGTGTATTTAACGTCCTCCTTTTAGACATGTTTATTAAATTTTGTGTTTCCTTTTTGATTTGCAGGTACTTTGAGAAGCATACCAGTCACACATCCTACCAGGTGAGCCTTGACCGTCGACGGCAGTCTATAGACTAGAGCCCTCCCCCCCCTCAAAATCCCCCTCTACTCAGACGCACCAAAACTTTTATTACTAATATCCTCGTTTTCTGTTATATATATACATATATAAATATATACATATATGTATATATATGAGTGTATATATCAAATGTAGAGTCCATACGCTTTTTTGTTTAATGCCATAGTCAATTTGTATTATAGAAGCGTGCAAATCCATAGATCCATATATCCCTAGATCCATAATTGTGTGCATTGTTCCATTCTTCATCCAGTTAATTAGTGTGTGTATGTGTGCATACATATATATATATATATATATATATATATATATATAAGGTGTGCTTGTGTGTGTGCTGCCTCCATTAATTTGACATGCTCTTAGACATATACACATATGTACATACATATAGGTATATGTATATATGCATCTGTATCTGTATCTGTATCTGTCTGGTCTGTATGTAGTACTGACGCAACTTTCATTTGTTACCCTCTCCAACCCACTCCGCATTTTGGGCACGCGGCATTGCAGCGAATCAAACGAACTGATCTAACTAATGTACACGTAATTAGAGTAACACTTGGATAAAGCTACATAAACACTGGAGATCCACAACTCAAAGCAATTCTAAATCGCACAACTTAAGCCAAAAATCGAACAACTTAAAACTAGAAAGAAATCGAGAAACCGTTTGAAATGAATCGAAAAAGCAATTCTAAAATATACACAAAACGCGTTCAAATCGTAAACGAAACATAATATTCTTATATAAACGAATATATATTTAATAGATCGCTATAGGAATATCAAACAATTTTATTATTTCTAAATATTAATGAAATTTAAATGCAAAGTTTTTAATAAACGGAGTTTCCTCAACGAAATTCAATTGCAAGACCAAAAAGCAAAAGCAATAAACAATTAACTTAACTATTAATTAAGCAAAAGAAAGCAACAACAACAACAACAACAACAACAACAACAAAAACAACACTGCGCATAATCGAACGTAGCCTTAATAATCAAATTTAACATAAAACTCGCAAACGAACAACAACAACAACAACAACACAAACGTGCCTAAGCCATAAAAAGCATCAACAATTCAAAAAAAAAAAAAAAATAAATAAAACAACAAAAAGAGAGAGAGAAAAGGATATAAAGCAAAGGATATTCTAACTAGACACACACACACACACAGACACACACACACTCGCAGACATACATCGCGTTCAGACTGCAGTGCCTCAGCAATATTGAAGTGTTGCTGCTGCAGCAGCCGGCGACAACAACAGCAACAACGACGAGGCGGCAGCTGAGGAAGGCGCGGCCACGCGGCAGGACCAGCACGACGCCGACGCCAACGCCATCTATGACGAGCGGCAGCAGCAGCAGCAGCAGCAGAAGCAACATGGCCGTTGATTTGTCAATGCTGACCAACAGCAGCAGCAACATTAACAACAGCAGCAACAACAACAATAACAACAACAACAACATCATCTGCAGCAGCAGCCACAGCATTAAAATTGCAGCAGCAGCAGCAGCCACAGCCGCGGCAGCCGTCGGAATTTGTCGCGTTGATGTAAGTAGTTCCAGCAGCAACAATCAAGAAGCAGAAAGAAACAAAAACGAAAAACAGGCAAAAAAAAAACATTAGAGAAAACTGATAAAGTAAAAGGAAAATTGCATTTAAAAAGCGGCAGCCACTGCATAAACTAAATAAATAAAACAAAAGCAAATGAGTCAAATTGAGCAACAACAATAACATTGACAAAAAAAAAAAAAAAAAATAAATAAAAAAAAGAATCAACATGCATACACACGCACACACACGCACATAGAACAACAATCTGCAACGTGCTCAAGAAACAAAACAAAAGCAAAAACATAAACAAAAAGAAACTTCACTTTACGTTTTGATTGCTTTCGTGTTTTATGTTCGTTTTGTGTTCGTTTCGTGTCGCCCACAAGCTCCCAACCCTCTCTCAAATCACAAACAGCAAACATAAACACTCACACACGCACACACGCACAGCAAACCAAAAATTTGAAAATTCAAAATTTAAATCTGGAACTGCACAGTCCGAAAAGAACAACAACAACTACAAAAATAGAGCAACATTAAGAAAAAGACAAGAACAACTATTGGCAAGAAACATTTTATAGCAAAACATATCATTGTAGATTTACTTTTTGTTTATATTTCGTAGCTTTAGTTTTTACTAATGACCGACCAGCCCGTTCCGTCCCCCCGCCCCACTCTCGCCCCTCAAACATTGGTAACAATAACATGTTAATAATAATAACAATAATGTTTATAAATAACGAATCAACATAAACAACAACAAGAACAACAATAATCATCTGTAAATTGTGTGTGTTCGTTTTATATTAATGCAATTCCTAAAACCCTACAAATATCTTCTTCGACAGAGCTCAAAGTACAGCAGTTCAAAGCGCGACTATGAACGCGATCGTTCCTCCAACTATCGCGATCGCGACATTTCGCCTGGCGGTGCTGGTGCCGGCGGAGGCGGTGGAGGAGGCGGCAGCGGTGGTGGCGGCCCATTGAATAATGGCAACAGCTATCGCTCACAATCACCGGACATAGATTCGCCATCATCGCGCTCGCATGATCTGCGCGAACGCACCGATCATCGCAGCGGTGGAGGCGGCGGCGGCGGGGGCGGCGGTGGTGGTAGCAACGAGCGCTACAGCTTCATACAAAAGATGCGCGATCGGGATCGCGATATCTACAAAAAGGACAAATATTCCGGTAGCTGTAATACCAACAATTATCACATTTGTACTCCCAATACTTACACAAATACCTTTTCCCATTTCAGATAAACGTGATCGGCGCGGCAATGATCGTGATTCGGAGTCATCGTATCGCACGAATCACGACAGGGATCGTCGTGGTGGCGGCGGCGCTAAGCTTTGCTCATCGCGCGAAAACGACAAGCGCTCCGGCTCCGACGATCGGGATCGTGAGCGTGAGCGCGACTTGCGTGATAAGCGTGACAGGGGCGCCGATCGCGATCGGGACATGTACAAGAAGGACAAATATGCAGGTGTGTATGTGTGTGTGTGTGTGTGTGTGTGTGTGTGTGTAGTCGCAAAAGCTCCTTATATAATTCAATCATTATCCAAACTGTGCTCACGTCTATCTACTCTTCCCCAGACAAACGCGAGCGCAGTGATCGCGGCGAGCGTGTGGCGCGCTATGGCGACTGGAGCGAGCATGTCAGCTCGTCTGGTAAGTGCCTCAGTTGGCCTTAAATCAGAATTTTATTTTGCTAACAAACTTGTTTATTCACAGGCAAAATGTATTACTACAACTGCAAAACTGAAGTCTCCCAGTGGGAGAAGCCTAAGGAATGGGTAGATAGAGAAAGGTATAAAATCCCAGTCAATCCCAGAATATTGAAAGTAGAGCAACTATCTCCTGCGACTCGTAAATTAAGTACTCTTTCGCTTGACATATTTCTAGACCTAGCCACATCGAATTTTAATTCTTAGTCGATATTGATTAGCTTCGTAGGGATCATAATTATGTTCGCGTAACCAACAAATTTGTATTCAATTTGCATTTATAGAAAAACTGTTTTCGACAAATATTTTCTAAGGCAGGTCCAATTCAATTCCGTTCGTGACAAATTTAGGCTACGTTGTTATCAAGATAGTTTTGGGACTTAAACACTTATTTGTATTGAATAGTCAGCTAGACGTAACTATATATATTTAGCTCCTTGGTCTCCTCCATAATGTTTTAATGAAGACAGCATAAAGTATATATAGTCTTGGTTTGCCTAGCTCCGTCTCTTGTTGCTGGCAGTTCATATGTAGGATCGGACCACTATCCATATATCATAGAAATAACCGATCGAAATCTAAGTTCTTGTTGATTGATTAGATCTTCAGCTAACTTAGTAATTCCAGGCTTTACTATTTGTCTCACATATCTGCAAAACCATAAATCATTGTAATACAAGGGTTTTTAGTCTGCGACGTGCCTGCGTTAGTCGCTCTTAATTGTTATTCCTGAACTTATTCAAGGGTCATGCACACACATATACAGAATCTCTGCTAACATTTTGTTCAATGCACTTTAGAAACTTGCCGCGTGATCAGCATCGTGAGAAGGACTATCGCGATAAGGATCGGGACCGAGATCGCGATGATCGCTTCTCAAGATCGAGTAAGTTTCTAACGGTCTGCAGAATTCAACAATAAGAATGATAACAATTGACACGCTTCTCCATTCACAGCATACAAACATTCCAATTCTTCGCGCGACAATTCACGACTGAGATGGAATTATGACAACGATGGCGGTCCGCCCAGCCATCGAAGGCGTTTGGATGGTAAGTAGCATCTGCAGCACGTCTAACAGTTGATCTACCATACTCACATAATTCTTATGCAGGTCGACATAACGATAATGCTGATATGGACATCAGCGGCGACTCAACGCCCACCTCGGAGGCCAGTTATTCGTTAAGCGGCACACCCACCACACATGGCGGCAGCGTGGGAGGTGGCATGCAGTCTAGCGAACAGTCGTCTCTGATGCCACAGGGCGTAATGGCGGGCGCATTGGGCAATGCTCTGCCACGACTGGCCTCTCATCCAAATCCCAGCGCAGTGGTTACTCCCATGGGGGCGCATTACGGTTCCGTCGGAGTGGGCGGCACTGGTGGGGGCGGCGGTGGTGGTGGACCGGTGAGCGGCGCTACAATGCTGCCTACCAGCGGATTGGCCTCGGTGCCGTCCACCATTGCCAACAGCAGCAACAGCAGCCTTAGAAACTCAGTTGTCGGCCACATTGGCTCAACGTCCAGCGTAAGTAACAAAACAAAATGCTATTCGAGCATCTTCTGATTTATTAATTGTGTGTGTTTTCCATTTGCAGACTACTGTGCCGACGCTGGCGAATCAGGAGAATCATCTGAACTCGAATGCGCCCGGGCCACCTGGCAAATTGCTCAGCGCTGGTAAGGATCAGGCGACGCTGATGATGCGACAGAAGCTACATTTAGTCCTTGGCGGCATTGATACGCCGCATCATCATTTGCTTCTCGGCAGCATCGGCAGCGGTGGGGGCCTAACGGGCGCAGGCAGTGGCTCAGCAGCCGATGTCGTAAATCATGCCTACAACTCGCTCCACAATGTGACTGCCAGCTCCTTAAACAGCTTAAGGTGAGTTAGCTCTACACAAAGTTCCTTATGGGTTTATACTAACCAATCCATTTATTCATGTGCAGGGACAGCAACCAACTCAACTCACCAATGTGCATGCCGCATGCCCATCATAGTCTGTCGCCATCGCTGAGCTATACAAAGAGTCCCATACCAACGATCGTGAGTCACACGAACAATGTTAACGCCAGTAACGCCTACACCTGCAATGCGCCGTTCGGCCTCAAGACGGTGGCAGATGGGCTTGCCGTTGGCGTTGGCGTGGTGTCCTCCTCACCGGCGACAAATGCGATCGGCAATAGTAATGCCATCGCTAACAGCAGCAACAGCAACAGCTGCAACGTACCCGGCCTGGGCACTGTCAGCGGCATCAGCGTCATCACCTCCATGGGTAGCAACAGTCTGTGCGGCAGTGCAGTGGCGCTTGGCGAGGGGCCGCCAACGCCAACACAAGAATTAGATTTAAGTGGCTCAGCTTTAGAACAACACCAACAGGTGGCTGCCGCAGCAGCCGCTGCCGCAGCAGCTCTGGCCGCGGCCCAAGTGACGCAACAGCAGGCGGCACAGCAAGCCCAACAGCAGCGCAAACGTAAGTGCACATTATTGACAAAATCCCTATGGTTAATGTTAATATGTTTTACTTCTTTGTATTCACAGTCGATGGCACTGGTTCGGCCACGCTAAGCACGCTGCAGAGCTGTGTGGCCTCAGTGCAGGCGGCCAATCTGCGTGGCCCGGAAATATCACCCAAGCTAGCCAAGTACTTTCGCGCTGATTTAATTGCGCACGTGACCAACTGGCAGGCGGAAGTATTGGAGCGCCAGGTGAGTAAAGGGCACTGGGCGGGCAAATAGAACATCAGTTAAAAATGGGAGCGGTATTTATTATGAGGTTCCTCTAATATAGAACACGAGCTTTACAAACGTACCGCATACCTTTGGGTCACATCTTCCACAGCTGAGCTTAGTTCGAAATTTCCGAATAAAGCGCACTCCATTGGTCTGACTTTTTTTATACCAATATTCACTTTTTTTTAAACCAACTGAAAAACATTTGCAAGAACTCCAAAAATGTGATTATAAAAAAGGGCTTAGGAAATAAGAGAACAATCAAAGAGTTGCAATCATATCATTCATTAATGAGAAAATGTTAAATGTATATTAATTTTTATTTGATTTAAAGCTGCATATTAAGTATTCACCTAGTTAGTTTAGGCAGGAATATTGCTTGAGGTTCCCTCTGCCCCAAAATCTCGAGATTTTGTTTATGAACTCAAATTTGGTACTCTTGCAGGCGCAGAAATGCTGCGAGGACACGCATCTGTTTGGGGACATCACCTGCACACGGATATGCGCTGAACTGAAATGTGCGCGCAGTTTAGTGCGGAGCACGGAGATCAATGCCACGCTGCAGGAACAAAAGTAAGTGTGCTAAAATATATTTGTGGTGTGTACAATTTGTAGCTAATTTATTGCTATCATTCATTACAATACAAAACAGAATCATGTATCTGCGCCAGCAAATTCGCCGAATTGAGGAGTCGAAGACTCAGAACGCGTTCATGTCGGACGATACTTAGGATCAGGAGCAATTTAGGCTGCGCGTGCATCGCAAGCTGTCTGTCAGGCTCAAAAAGAGCACATTTTGGCGCAGCTGATGATGATGAAAGCAATGCCCCACTAAACCCATGCAGATGAGTGGCTTATCTCATCTGTTTCGCTCATCCGATGCAGTTCCCAATGATGATGCATCGCAATTTGAGCAGGGTGGAGCAGGGCAATTAACACGTGCATCCTTCTTTGTTGGCGGCGGGCATACTCCCTGGTGACACTGTTGGCGTCTGTGCTAGTGGCAGGCAACAGGTGCTGAACAAATATTGGTCGCCGACCAGGTAACATCAACAATGGAGCTGCTGCAGCGACAACAAAACGGAAACGAAAACGGAAACAAACAACAAACAAACAAAAACAACAAACAACAAACAAACCAACAACATGATGATGAAGAGAAGAACACATGAAACTAAAACATAATTAATAATTAGCAACGCGTAATTTATAACTTAAATAAGCATGAAGCGCCGGCGGCAATGTTGAGCTTATGTTGCCGTTATCTAAATACAACAAACAAACAAACAAAAACACCAATAACAATCGAAACAATATAGCAAAACTAATTGAAAACAAACAGAGACTACGGACAAAAAAAAAAAAAACAAAGCCCAAAACGAAACCAATCCAAGAAGCAATAAGAAAGAAGCCTCCTCGTATCGAATCGAAGTAATATACAAAAAAAAAAGGAAACAAAGAAAACAAAACACCAACAACAAACAGTAAACAAGGTAAAAACAAAACATTAGTAAACAAAACCAAGTCAACCTAGTATACTCAACTGCAATAAAATGCTAATTTAACTATATACAATATATATACATATATATACATATATATATAGAGTATATGAAACTGTATATTTACAACAACAAACAGTGTGTGTGGCAGACTCGTTAAATACCCTTCTGCACGCAGAACCAGAGGAAAACAAAAACCAAACAAAACAAAACCAAGGCGTGCAGAAATGGATGAGAAAGAGAGAGCAACTATGCATTCTGAAAGAGAGACAGAGATAGAAGTAGTGTACACTGAGAGCGAGAGAGCGAGCGTCGGTTGAGAGAGAAGTCCACACAACTAGCCTTCATTAGTAGCCGCAGATAAATCCGTTGGGGGTATTCACTCTTGACAGTTTCAAAGTATTTTTGTGTGCGCAAAATTTGTTCAACTTTGAAGCTGTCATTTTGTCCAATACCAAAAATCAATTTTTGTCTGGTTTCTGTCTATGAAGCAATAAGGTTTGCATTGCATTGCGAGTGTTTTTTTTTTTTTTTGTTCTTTACTTAATATCGGTTCTTTAGGTAATATATTCTTCTGTATAGAAACAATACATTACAGACTTCACAATATTAATATCCATAAAAACTGAACACACACATCCTCACAGGTATACACACACACATAAGCGCCTGGCCGAACAGGCTTCATTTCTAGCTTCCTAGTTCTTATGCGAAAATGTATTTATTTTTTTCTTGAAATTGAATTTGCATACACTTGTTTTTTTAATGCATTATTTTTACAATTTTTTTTTTAATTAAAGTATAAATTAATCTATATTAAAACAATATATATATATATATATATATGTATATATATTATATATATATATATATATATATATATATATATGTATATATTCATATATATATATATATATATATATATATATATATTAATATATATAAATATATAAAAGTAATTTGTCTTATTTAAGCAAGCTGAAGAAGAGAAAGAACACCCAACACTGCACGCGTATATTAGTGTAATTTGAGTTTTTAAATTTAACTTGTCTAAACGTAAAAGTGGAATACGAAAAACAAAAAAATTAAAAACAAACAAAACAAAGTATAGAAAACAAAGCAAAAAGTTTAACAATATAAATAATAATAATAATAACTACTGTAGATATACATATAATTAAATACAATGGTATATATAAATATATTTAAATACAAACAGAAGGTAAAAATAAAAAATTTATATTATTTAGCTAAGCGTCGAAACCGAAAAATATAAAAAACTTTTATGATTAAAAGCTTTTTTTTATTGGGCTGCATCGAATCTTGGAAATCCTTGAATATTAATCGATAGTCCTGTTTTTTGCGAGTTCAAAGGGCTAAAAATGGTAAAAGATTTTCAAAGGACTCGGTGCGTTAGGATCGCAAGGAACAACTGCATCGATCTGCATTTAAAAAGTATGGGGTCATCTAAGAATCCAGGACTTGTAAATTTCGTGTCGCCAGCCGCAAGGGAAATTAAGCCAAAAACACAAAATCCTTAACATCTTTGGAACTACAAGGGCGATTTGGATGTCCTTTGGGCAGTTGGTAGCCCCTGTCCATAAGATGTTTTTGACACATGACTCGAAAGGATCCGCAAGGATGCGGCCGAGTTACAGGCAATTTTCTATATGCAAAATTCACACACTTTCTCAGCTGTTTAAAGGACTTTCGTCCTTTTTATTGTATATTCTGAATTGGGGTCGCAAGGACATTCTGTTGGCCAAAGGACATCCCGATAGTCCTTAAAATGGCCGAGTTAGCCCGGATTATGTGGACTTTTGGCAATTTTTGCGACTAACCCCCTAGGAAAATTTTCGGAGAAATTTTTGGTCGAATCCTGGAAATGCTTGAATGCCAATCAATAGTCCTGCTTCCTGCGAGTTCAAAGAGGTGTTCTTTTCCAAGATCCGCAAGGATGCGGCCGAGATATGGCTAAAAAACGAATGTCCTTTTAAGAAAAATGACCATAACTCGGCCATATCCTTGCAGATTTTCAAAGGACTCGGTGCGTTAGGATCGCAAGGACCAACTGCATCGATCTGCATTTAAAAAATATGGGGTCATCTAAGAATCCAGGACTTGTAAATTTCGTGTCGCCAGCCGCAAGGGAAATTAGGCCAAAAACACAAAATCCTTAATATCTTTGGAACTACAAGGGCGATTTGGATGTCCTTTGGCCAGTTGGTAGCCCCTGTCCATAAGAAGTTTTTGACACATGACTCGAAAGGATCCTCAAGGATGCGGCCGAGTTACAGGCAATTTTCTATATGCAAAATTCACACAATTTCTCAGCTGTTTAAAGGACTTTCGTCCTTTTTATTGTATATTCTGAATTGGGGTCGCAAGGACATTCTGTTGACCAAAGGACATCTCGATAGCCCTTAAAATGGCCAAGTTAGCCCGGATTTTGTGGACTTTTGGCAATTTTTGCGACTAACCCCCTAGGAAAATTTTCGGAGAAATTTTTGGTCGAATCCTGGAAATGCTTGAATGCCAATCAATAGTCCTGCTTCCTGCGAGTTCAAAGAGATGTTCTTTTCCAAGATCCGCAAGGATGCGGCCGAGATATGGCTAAAAAACGAATGTCCTTTTAAGAAAAATGACCATAACTCGGCCATATCCTTGCAGATTTTTAAAGGACTTGGTGCGTTAGGAGCGCAAGGATCAACTGCATCGATCTGCAATTAAAAAGTATGGGGTCCTCTAAGAATCCAGGACACGAAATCCTTAATATCTCTGAAATTCCAAGGACGATTTAAATGTCCTTTGGCCAGTTGGTAGCCCTTGTCCATAAGAAATTTTTGAAACCGTACGCAAGGATCCACAATGTCCTTTTCAGAAAAATGGCAATAATAATTCAGATTTTCAAAGGACTTGGTGCATTAGGATCACACGAATGCAACGAACTGCATTTGATAAATATGGAGTCATCCAAGAATCCAGAATTATGGTGTGATCGAAGGATCAGACACAGGAGCTCGCTTATTTTATTAATTATATATCTTACTCTTATATATTGTTATACTTATATACTTATACCTTTTTATTGAAGGAACTTGACCAATTTATATTTCTTCAATAAATACGGATACGAGTAAAATTTATAATTGTTCCTTTTTCGTGTATTTTTGGAAACTTAATTCTTTAATCTGAAAAGATAAAAAAATATACATTAGAACAAATACACAATTAAACAAAACACAGCACTTATAATCAATGCATGAGAACTCACATACGGGATGTACTAAAATTCATGAGAATCGCATAGTCGCAAGTCATAGTTAATAATACGTTTTGTTTCAAACATGTATGTATATATGTATAGATGCTTACATGCATATATACACGCATATACACATGCAGACATGCTTACAAGCATACATGCTTACATGCATACATGTAAACATGCTTACATTCATACATTCTTTCATGCATATAGACATTCAAACATGCTTACATGCACACACATACATGTACAGACAAACATTGATTAAAACTTTTATATATCCACATATAATTAAGTACGTGTACAACAAAATAGAATGAAAGGGTATCATCGGTACTCCGAAGGTTGAATACCCTTTTAGACAGTCGCCTACTGGTTGGGCGAATGTGTATGTTAGAATAGTGAAGCTCGAAAATGTTGAGTTTCATTAAAGTATGTAAGAAAACAGAATTTTTTGCCATTCTTCTTATAGAGTCAAAAAATTAGAGTGTGATCTTAATAAACTTTGCCTCATGTATAAGCAGAATAGTTTAAAAAGTAAATTTAGATGTTTGGTCGCGAGAATGACCAATAGTTTTTGTGGCAGGGTTTGAAACGGTGTCCTTCTATACTTTAGGCATTTACTGGCATAACTAGAATATTCCTTAGAAGGATATACTAAATGAAGTGTGTTCAGCGTTCATTATGCTTATAAGAACACACTTCGCGGGTATTTCGCAGCCTAACCTGGGCTAACTTGTAATTTTAAAAATTTAAACAACATTTGAACTTTCCCTCATACATTCGTTGACCCTCATTTTCCTTACAGGTGATAAATTCAGTTTCCTTAGTCTTATGGTTTGAGCTGTTAAGTTAATTGGTCAGAAAAACACAAATATATGTATATAAATAAATACTAATTACATAATTTTCTGAAAAATAAAATTATGCCAGGCTGAGCTATGCACCTGCATGATTGACAGATTTACTAATATTTAAGGTCAACTAATTGACTAGCTTAAAGAGTTCTATGTGTGTGTGAGTTTGTATGTATTGTTATTGATATTAACAATAAAAGGAATGGTCGCTCTAACTGGCGCACAAAAGTATGCAACGATTTTTAAAAACAGACACTTAACTGTCATTACTCACAAAGGCACACACACACACACACTCAGACACGAAACATGAGGTTGACAAAGCTTTTGCGTGATTCAATTTAAAGTTAGCGCCAAACGTCTGCAGAAAGCTCTGCATTTGCCGGCTGAATGTGGCAGACAGAGAGAATGAGAGCGAGAAAAGCCGCTGAGCTTTCGCTGCAAAGTAGCGGCATTTAACCCAGCAGACAATATGCAGAGCAGGCGAATTCGCTGCTAACCCAATGAATGCGAGAAGGAACAGCGAATGAACACCCACGAGGACATCACACTAGGAGCCGACGATGTGTTTATGCCAGTATGTCGCGCCGCTCCTGCCCCCCGTCGCAACGCACCGCACCGCATCATGCCTAACCGAACCGTTACCCGCTGCTTTGGCTGAGCATTTGGCATCTGCGGGCTGTCAGAGGACAGCGAATGCCAACAAGTAGCAGTTCAGCATCGACAACGCCAGCGTTCGCTTGCGTCTGGCTGATGGCAGCGCAGTAGCACGGAGCATAGCAAAACCAAGAACAGCAGAACGACATCAAACTACGCGAGTTTTCAAAAATTATTGTAACGGTCCAGCAGAGAAACTGTTTGAAAATTAGTCCGTTTTTGTTGTGCTTTGTATTATTTATTTTGAGTGTGTGTCTGTGTTTGTTTCCAGTGTAAGGCGTAGAGCGTCGAATCAGAAGAAAAGTTATTTTAGTTAAGGCAGAAGTCAAGCGTTTCGCTAATTTACAAAAACTACAAAAAAAAAGCATCTTTGCAAATAAAAGCAAATAACGGTAAGTAGTTCCCGGCAGCTCTTCAAAAGATTAATTAAAAAACATAAAGCCCGCTACGAAGCAAGGCCCTTTCATTTAAGTGCCTTTCCTTTTAGTTTGTCCAAGTCTGAAACTCAGTCTGAAAACTGGGACACTATTAACAATTTTTAAGCAAATTATGTTTAAAAGTCGCATAAAGTTTTCAGCTTGTAAATTTTAAGGTCTATAATAATGATTCTTCGCGCTCTTGGCTTAAGAAATCGTATTCCAATTATCAAATTCACATATGAGAGCCCGAAATAAAAGCCTGAAGTCTACCCTTAGAGATTCTAGATTCTTTAACTCATTTTAAAACCTATATCATAAACTAAAAGCCTAAAGTCGAATTTTAATTGAAACAGAATACGAAACATTTGAATGCTTTTCATGATGAGTCCAAAGAATTGGAAGTTAGGATTACAGCAAAGTTTGAACAGGTTGTCAGCCGAATTGCAGTTTTCTAAAAGAGTATTTAAATCGTCAAAATCACATGAAAATAGTTATTAAGTTTTAAGTTTAGGAAAAGTTTTTAGAGAAAATTCAAAATAAACCTCAAAGCATTTAAGCTGTCGGAAACGTAGTCTATATGATAATTTGAATACCCTGTTTACAATACGAAAAGGAGTTTATTGGATTTGTGTAGTGCACACGTTCTTATCCGTTCGCCGGCTTTTTAAGCTGAAGCCTAACATTTTGGAAATATCTATTAGGTGTATATTTTCTAAAGTCACAGTTCGACAATTTTTGCAACTTCAGAGACATCCCGAAAGTCAAGCTAGTGTATTGCGTGGCAGGCTACACTTGATAGAAACCATCTAACTTGTTTATATTATAGTTACTTTCGGGTAAATTTTGCAATTTATTTGTTGCATTTTAGTTGCATTTGCAATTTATGAACCGTCAAGAGCAGATAAAGCTAGAAATCAAAACCAACAATAAAAATATTTGCCCTTGTTACTAGGCGCCGCAAAAAGACAATAAAAAATAAGTATATTTGTGTGGTATATAAGGCAAATAACAAGTTAAAAGTTTGTTCAAATATTTGGCAATTGCAGTGCGCGAATTAAACAAAAACACCGAAGATTAAATACCCTAGCAAACATATGGCTTGGAAGGAATCAATTGATCCCATATGAGCTATATGCTGTAGAAGTCCGATTTGATAAGTTATTTTTCTAGATATGTCGGGTGTACAGAAAAGCTCTCATAAGTGTCAGGTCAAGATGGCTTAATCTATATAAAAACTTATTGTTAGACTGGTGCTAAGCTAAGATTTGGCCTTTTCATAAGTAAACAGCATCATGACATTTTTAATTGCTAAGTTTTTAATATATATTCAACTTTCCCGACATTAGCTTAGGCCCCAGCTGAGGGACAAGCTTGCATGGAAACAGACAGACAGGCAAAACTATAATACCTTCTACAAGGGTATAATCAGTATAGAGCTTGCCAGAGTCACAGCCTCCATCAGAATATTTTCTAAAGGGGCACATGGCTGAAGCAACTCGGCTGTTGATGCCCATCCAGAATAAATGTACACTTTATAAGGTCGGCTAAGATTTGCTTCTAGGTTTCATACATTTCGTCGCAAAACTATAATACCTTAAACAAGGGTATAGAGCATGCCAGAGTCACAGTTTCCATCAGAGTGATGTTCATGGTGGGCGTGGTGTTGTCCATTTTCCGTTGAAATTGATTTACGTGCGCCTTTTTAAGAGCTAATATCTAATTATTAATGGAACAGGAGCAAAATAGAAAATAAACAGGCTGCATGTTCAAACACTGAAGTGTGTTTTCCACTCCAAATGTCGTATGATTTGTGTCCTGTTCTGGCAGCTTTTGGTTTGTTTTTTTTTTTTTTTTTGTTGTTGTTTTTTTTTTTGTTTTTTGCCTGTGGCCTTTGAGCTGAGCGCTTTATGCATTTCTGGCGCTGTCAAAATTGCTGGTACTTAAAATTGGCGCGCGCCAAAAGCCAAAAGCATTTGACGTTTGCCAATGTTGACAATTTGCATTGCCCAATGCCAACAGCCATAAATTTGACGCCACCAAGACCCGGACAGAGTTACCCACTGTGTGCATAGCTAGATCCGGGTGGGGTTCGCCCACCCCAACTGGACTCCGGAGACTGGCAGTTTGCTTTAAGAGCGCGCTGAAAACATGTTGGAATTCATCCGAAATGCTCACAAGCAAGCACATCGCCAGAACTGAGCTGCAGTATTTTCTATAATATAATTTAGTTTTTCGAAAAAAACATTTTTAAATATAATTTATGTATTATGTATACCCTGAACCCATTTAAAATGAGTATAAGGGTATATTGTATATGTGCAAAATCCAAATATATGTAACATGCAGAAGGAAGTATGTCCGACCCCATAAAGTATATATATTCTTGATCAGCATCAATAGCCGAGTCGATCTAACCATGAACGCAAGGATCTCAGGACCTAAAATTTTAGATGTAGGTGCTCATAGTGCCTGCGCGGATCGAGTTTGTTTCCGACAATCGATATCTTACTCCATTTTCAAGCAATCGATAAAAATCGATATCCTGTTTTTTTTTTTGGCAATTTTGGTAAATAATAAGAGCTAGAGTTACGAAACATGATTGGTTGCTTCTAAAATAGAATTAATATATATCCATTTGATGTTGGAAGAGTGTTCAGGGTATCCCCTAGTCGGGAGCTCCCGACTAGAACCTCTTACTTGTTTTTATTTTTAAATGAGTGTTGCTGCATAATACCTGTTCTCAGTTATTGTATTCATATTCAATTTTAAAAAGAAGCTAAGCGAATAAATAAATCAAGTCCAATTTGTACTGGCAAAAACGCGCTTGAAATCGAAACAGAAACAGAAAAATGCATCAGTTGTAAGATTCAAGTAAGATTCAGGTTCTGAGATCCTTGAGTTCATACAGACGGACAGACGGACGGACACACAGACGGACATGGCTAGGTCGACTCGATTATTGATGCTGATCAAGAATATATATACTTTATGGGGTCGAAGATGCGTCCTTCTGCCTGTTACATACACTTGGATTTTGCACAAATACAATATACCCTCATACCCATTTCTTATGGGTATATATTTGCGTCTGATCGTTAGGGTCCCAACATTTGAATACTTTATCAGTTTCGCTTCTTCTTGGTATATCTGAAGGGGCCAAGATTGAAAGGCTGACAGGTCCTTGAAACAATTTCTACTTAGTTGAAACAAGCTATTGCTGCTCTTTCTATACCCTGTACCAATTGATAAAGCGCCAATTGGCGTATTATGGTTTTGTGGAAGCGCATGAAACAGGCAGAAGAAGGCACCTCCCATTAAGTATATAGGTATATAAAGCTTAGTTAATCTATTGTGAACCATCACGAAAGTTCCAGCATAATAAGTTGATCTCTATTTTCTAAATCTATTTCGATGTTCGTAATATAAAAAGTTAATATGGAACAAGGTTTTTTAAGCATTATTCGGAGATCACAACTAAAGACGACATCAAATATAAAGAATCTCGTTTAGTATAAAAATATACACAGAATTTCGATTCCTCATTAATTTTCTTTTTCATCGATAAATTTTATAAATATTGAACTACATATATCGAAGTTATTCAAGAATGCATTAGACATTGTTTTGGACTAAGGTTAAGATAGAAGAGCAGCTTATGCATCTATGTTTGTCTAGACGGGAGTTCAAGTGTGTCGTCTGCTCAGCGCTGGTCACGGGATATCTTTTAGTCGTGCACTCCCTACTCGCGCACTTGTACTTGTTTTGTGTTTGGTTTTCAGTGTTGACCTTGTGCGCTTTTTCCATGTATTTTTCTGTTGTATTTATTTTTTGTTTTCTGGCATTCAAATTATGTGAATGTATTTCATTTTCATTTGCGACTCGCGCTTGTTTTAGATTTGTTGTTTTATGACTTGACCATTTGGCAACATTGCGGCTTCGAGGGTGTTTGCATAAAGGGTGGGGGCGGGGCGGGGCGTGCGGTTCAGCTTCAAGGCGGCCTTTAACTGCCGTGCCTGGCAAACATTTTCAACAGGATTTTCAAATGTTTCGGCAACTGCACTCAATTTTTATTACCTAGCACTCGCATTTTACTTAGCCTATTTCACTCTATATATATTATGTTGTTAAGGGGCACGTAGGTGGGCGGGTGCGGTACAATACCCAACAACAGGTCAATGTTTTTGCATAGTGCCCAACATTTTATATCATCCTCGGGTTGGACGGCGCCCAAAGTTCTTGTTGTTGACACCGCCTGCTAACCATTCTACAAGCAAACACACACACACACACACACACACACACACACACACACACACATACACAGAGAGAGAGACACACATACATATATACAAGTATACATCCCGTACACACGCTCACGCACTTGCTGTTATAATTTCATTTGAGGTTTAGGCAACGGCCTCTGGTTACATTTACATTTTTATTTCCTCTCGGACGCATCCATTGGGTTGTTGGGGTCACGCCCCTTTGTCGCTGTTATTATTACTGTTGTTGTTGTTTCATGACTCTTGCCTAATGCTGTTTGTTGCTAAATCTTTGCCTGATTTACATTAAAGCGTCTTCGGCTTTCGGTCTTAGTGCTTAGTTTTTCTACATTCCAACATTTCAATTTCATGCGAGCCGCGTGACATTCCTACAAATTGCATTTTTAGTTGGCCCCAAAATATGAACAAGACTCTGTATATCAGGCTATTAGTAATAATAACATATATAAGTATACATCTATATATATATATATATATATATATATATATATATATATATATCTATAATATACAGAAAAAAAAAGAAAACAAAAATCAACTTCAAACAACGTCAGCAATAATGCTGGACGACATCGGATTTGGTTCTATTCACTGCTTCGTTCGGAGTACCCATTCCCATTCCCACTACCAGCCCCACCCCCACTCCCAATCCCACTTTCATGCCACATTCTGAACTATGCGCAAGCCGTTTGCCGTGTGTTTTATGAGGGTTTATTCCAGCTTTTTGGCCAACTCAAAGGCGACAAGCAAAAACAGCATAAAACAAAAACAACAGCAACAAAATGGGCTAAAAAAAAAATGAATAAAATTGGTAACATGGCCATGAAATCGTAAACAGTTGATTCTGATTTGGCTTTCATCTGTGTGTGTGTGTCTTTATGTAAATATATATATATATATATTTATATATGTATGAGTGTGCGTAAGTGCGTGGTAAGTGTATTGCCATAGCGAATTGTTGGTAGGCAACAGATTGCGTTTTGCCAATTCGGCCTACAGCTACTTAAGTATTACACTTAATTTAGTACGGTTTTTATAACCATTGCTGAATAAATCTCAAGTGCATAAATTAATTAACAAGAAGGGGAAACAAAAAGAACTGATCGCAAAGCTCTTTAATATGATTTGACTACAGCGTTGGCATTCTCAATGCATTTTGTTCAACGTATTCGACATTTTTCTATCTTAATATCTAATTTGTCAAATATAAGCATATCACTCTACTATTTTGTGTGCCCGCCAAGACTTGACAACTGCGACTTCTGTTTTTCAAACGTACAACGTGTTTTCTTTTTTTATACCCTGAACCCATTGAAAATCGGTAAATAGGGTATATTCGTTTCGTGCAAATTTATGAATGTATGTATATAGTATAAATATTATTGGTCAGCATTAATAGCTAAGTCGATCTAGTCATGTCCGTATGTCTGTCCGTCCGTCCATTTGTCCGTCTGCGCGTCCGTTCGTCTGTCTGATCATCTGTCATTTCGTAAGTAGGAACTTGTCGATTTTAGAACCTATAAGAGCTAGAGGCGTGAAGTTTTGAATGAAGGGCCTCCTATAGTCCGCGCAGTACGAGTTTGTTAATCGTTAATCGATAACTTGCCTCGTTTCCAAGAAATCAATAAAAAATCGTTGAGGAAATCCTGTTTATTAAGTATATCTCTTGGCTAGAACATGTAGCTTTTGGAAAAGTGAATACATCTCAAGTATCCTTCATCTCCCTACTAGCACGAGCTGCATGTGATGCTGCTTGAAGAAGGTTAAGGGTATCCTCTAGTCAGGCACTCACGACTCAAGCTCTCTTACTTGCGAGCTCCATAAAAGCATTTATCGCATGCATGAAACTATCTTTATATCATACTAATTCATAGCTCACGATACTTCACAGTTCTCTCTAGTCATTGTTAATGATGCGGCTTGCAGTCTAAGTAAAATAAACTATTAACTCCACTAGAAGCTCCACTAGAACTCAACTAGCTCTTAAGTTGAGTTGAAATATACTTGTGCGAGTAACCAGTTGTTATTTAAATCATTGTTAAATACATTTTACTTGCTAAACCTACCTTTTGTGATATTATACAATACATATGTTAAGTTGCAGCACATTTCGTAGCTTGACAATCTGTAAGGATAAGAAACATAAATTTTCTTGTAATTGAATTATTAAAATACTCTTTGCATATTACTATGGTTTTTCATATATTCTAACCCATTTTAGAAATGGCATTGGCAGCTGTTTTGCCTGTAGCTAAGTTATTATAAAATGCATACCTTAAGCTGAAATGCCAGTCAGCAAACTCTTAAGAGCTGCTGATATTAAAACTAATTAAATTAAATGAAGTTTTTCGTATTTAACTTTATCAGGATCAATACTAGAAGGGGCCTGCGCTTCGTTTAGATAATTTGCATTTGTGGTTGTTTTGTAAACACACTTTGATTATCTTTGCGCCTCCAGGACTCAATTCCCTCCCCCCATTCACTCGACCCCTCAGCATCGCGTTGTGTCTTTTTCCCATTGTGTACACAGCGCTTAGCGTATCGCAAATATCGTTCGAGGGCATCGGCGGGCAGCCAGGGTATTGGGTAGCTGCTCTATGTTGGCTGGGTCGTGTGTGATTGTCGTGCGAGTTGGCATATGTCACCAAGGTGTTAGCATTTATTTTGCTTCTTTTCTTTTTTTGTTATTCCAGCGCATAAGCGCGTGTGTATATGCGTGCTTAAATGTATGTGAGAGTGTGTTAAATTTGTGGAAATGGCATTTAGGTTTATGGTTTCATACACACACACACACACACACGCACACACACACACGAAGTGAACAACTCGACAAGCGCGTGTGCGTGAGATCCTTTTTAAGTTCCATCTTTTTTTTTGTGTTGCCTGAAACATTGCTTTAATTTTTAAATGTTTCAGTGTGGCAATTCGATTGTGTAAAGTATTTTAAATACTTTTAGATTGTTTTAATAACAAAACATTTTGAAGATAGATGTTACCTTAAATGTCAGATGCTTTGAAGTTCCAAGCGCTGAATGATTAAGTTTGCCTAAATAATTAAATATATTTAAAATAAGTTTCTAACAATAAATATCGCACTTATAATTACAATATACCCTGCTTAAATAGATGTCACAGGGTATGCAAAAGGTTGACACTGTTGGCAACTCTTTTGTTTATGTCTATGCCAAGTTTTTGCATAAGATTTAATAAAGTTAGCTACTTGCACAGATTCTGAAGCTTTGAAAGCACTTTTTACCCTTTTATGCCACGCCCACAGCAGAAGTATTTGCTATTCACGGGAGCGTTTAAGGGCAAATTTATGTAAATAACCGAAATCACAAAATCCTTAAATTGTCATTAGCTAAGCCTTTCGAGATTTGCGCTGCATGCTTTTTTTTTTTTGTATTTGTATTTTTGTTTCTGGGCCTGGCTCTTGTTTATTTTGGCGTCAAAATGCGACACTCACAACTTCACCAGCTCTGCAGCCTGCCCCTACGCCCGCTTTAGCAGGCAGACGCTTTTTAATGGCATAGTCCCAGAGCAACTCCCAAAAAAGTAGGCAACGCTTTTTATTGCTGCATCATTAACTGCTTTGTGCCAAGTGCTTTTAATGCGCCAAAGGGACATGTCCAATTTTGAATAATTTGAAAAAATTAAAAGCCTGTATCATATTGGCTGACTCGAGGGTAAAGTAAATATTGTTAGTTCTTTATAAAGCATAAACATTGATATATATTTAGTATTTTTTTGATACACATACAAATTGAGCTCGGATTTAATTAGTTATTCATGCATCTCTTTAGATGCTCGACAGCATTTAACATGCTGTTGCACTTAATTTCGTTTGCTCATGTTCAGCGTAACCAGATCTGCTTGGCAAAAATTGCAGAGCACTTTATCTGCTTTGTAAATTGAAATTGAATTACCGTGCTGCCACCTTGCAGTAATTTTATATGCCACACATGCAGATGTAAAAGCAATGTTTGCAGACATTAAGCAGCTTTGCACTCAATTTCAATTCGATTTCTATGTTCCCGACTAACAAACAATCCGAATTTGCTGTTTATCCATCAACTCGAGAGTAGAAAATCAAAAAAATAAAAATACAAGTTTATTTTCTTAATATGAGTTGAGAAAATACACCTAAAATTTAAGCTTTTCTGGAGCATCCAAATATATTGTAGGCATGGATAGAAAATGAGCTAAACTTTCTTTCCGATTTGTAACGGGAACGGAAGAAAGTAATGGGTCTGAATGGTCTTAATGGAAAAAAAATTGTTATATCCGCCGAAGTCATATTATTGTTAATACATAAATGTATATATCGATTTACCGTTTTAATGACTGCATTAAAATTTGATTTCTCTATAATATCCATTTATCAAATGATACAAATCTTATTGCAGTCCTTTACACAAAACTAACTAGGCGAGAAAATCATTAATTAACAATATTTGAGTAAATAAAACAGCAAATTTTTTATCATATTGAGCTTAAATATAGCCACAAATATATAGCAATATTATTGGGGAAAAAAATCATTTTGAATTTGAATTTTCTTAGAAAAAGAAATTCAGGACTTTCGGTAAATAAATTAAACGGTTTGCCTTCGCTCGATTATTTTTCTGCAACTTGCTGTTAAATAACGCATTTGCTGCATCCCAGTTTACAAGCGGGTATCTGCCAGCTGAGCACTCTTGACTTGAGCTCTTGTGTAGTGTGATGATCTTCTGCTAATAGCTCTCAGCTCACACTTGAGCACTGGCAGCCCCAAAACGAAAATTGTTGCCAACTTGTGGGCGCATCCGGTTTGCCAGTTACTTCTGTAATTTGTGCATTATGTGCTGGAACTCACCCAGTGCGAATGTAAGAAAGAGGAAATTGCAACTTCGTACTCTTTAAGTGTATATATCCTTGTTCAGCATTAATATCTTTGCTGAGTTAGTTGTGTTCGTTCTTTTAGATACTATAGGAGCTAGAGGAACAAATTTGCCAAAAAGGAAACTAGAGTAACATCATTCAAAATTATCTATATAAAGCCTTGGTTTTTGTGGCATATCGCGCAACATATTAAAGATAGAGACCTTATGTATCGGAGTAGCTATCACATTTTAAAAATATTTAACATTTTATATATACTTATGAAGTGTGCTGAATGTACTGAAGGAAGTGCGAATTAATGTTGCAGCAGCTCAAATCTGTTTGCAGAGTATTTTCCAGTCGCGCAATTTCGACATGAGCACTCGCCTGCATCTGCTTACAGGGTATTATTCAGTCGCGAGCTTTTGAATTGAACTTTGATTTGCGTTTCGATTTAGTTTAAGGCCTATCTCTCAGCGTTTGTGCAGCTTTTGTTTATCTGTTAAAAATGTTGCCTGTTTGTGAGCCATTTGGTAAGTCGTTGTGCATATATATATGCGTGTGTGTGTGCGTGTACGTATCTGTGTGGGTGTGCATTTCCGTTTCCGTTTGCGATAGTTTCCGCTGCGTTGTCGGATTGCTGATGGCTTGATTGCAACTTTATAGCACGCAATGTTGTTGATGCTTTTATTGCTTAGAACCTCTTGTGTATGTGTGTGTGTGTGTGTGTGTGGCAGGGGGCGGGGGAGGGCGTGACGTGGCAGGGACGAGGTGGAAGAGCATCTGCCGCTGAGGATATCCAAGACGATTACTCTGGTCATCTATGGCGCACAAATGATGTGCCAATAAAGTTGGGCGCCTCTCGATTGTACCCAATAAAATTCATCTTGGTTTTTATGGTCACCAAAGGGCGCGGCCACGCCCACAATGCTAACACACATAAACAAAAGCAGCAGCAGCAGAGGCAGCATCTGCGTTGCCTTAAGCCCTTGTCAAATGTCATGTGGGTTTATCTTTTGGCAGCGCTTCAATTGTCATTAAATTTTTGCCGCTGGTGCTTTCAATTTCGAGGCCTTGTCCAACCCTGCGTATACTTCACTTGGCCAAACTTAGCTTATTTTCTTGCATGGCTGTTGTTTTTGTTCTTGCTGTTGTTGTTGTTTATGTGCGTGGACATCAGCAAGCATATATGTGGATGTAGTTGCAGCTATTCTGGCAACTAGTTGGCGCCCAAACTAACAAATGCAAAGCACGTCTCAACTCTCGACTAATATAGAGAGGGTTATGGGTTGTCTAGAGAAAAAGTTAAGCGCGTGTTTTGAAGCGTATATTAAATTGAATGGTCAGACGAGACACATCAACAACAACAACAAAAACAACAACAACAAAGGGCACCTAACCACTCAAATTGTGTTTCATGTACTTGTATGTAAGCGTATATTGTTGTCTCTTTGCTCCAGTTGTTGTGGTCTGGCACTCAAGCAAATCGGATTCTCTACAAATGATGACAACGCCAGCGTGTCTACATATGTGTGTGTGCGTGTGTGTGTGTGTGTGCGCGTCTGTGTGTGTGTGTGTTTAGCCGGTACAAGAGGAAATGTTGGCGCAGAAATGCACAGCATATTTCAACTGCTGCGCTGTTCATCATCATCAACAGTTCAGGTTGTTGTTCTTGTCGTTGTTATTTGTTCTCTAACTAAATTAATTGAGCAAGTTTTGTTTTTAAAGTCTCATCACATAGCAAATAACAAAATACTCGCTTATTTATAGACAGAGTTATTTAACTTTAAGAAACTGTAGCTAGTTAGAACTTTACTTTCTGCTTTCTACGCCAAGTTGTTAAATAAATATTTGTGAGGTTTTTTTTTTTTTTTTGTATACATAGTGTTATGATTTTTAATAACACTTTGCGCACATATGTTAGGATTACAGAGTATTTTTTCCTTGTGTATGTAATTTATGAAGTGCCCATGGGTAAAAATTTATGAGGGAAGGTTTTTAATAACTGGAAATATGATGCGCGCAAATAATTTACATTCAAAAAGTGTATTCCTTGTGGCGCTTTTTCATTAAAACTAGATTTAATGAAAAATTATCCCAATAATAATATAATTAATAATAATAATAAAAATATTATTAATTAAATTCATAAGAAGAATAAGCACAACAATATGAAAATTGAAAATAGTCATAACAACAACGACAAGAAGAAATAATAAAAATAATACCAATAATAATAAGAGTAATATAACAACTATAATTAAA